GTCCAAGAAGGAGGCCGCCGAGAGGGAGCGCCGACCACGCTCAACCCGTCGTCGCCGGCGACGACGGGGTGGTCGGCGGCCCATGGGGAGGGGGGGCCGAATTAGGCAGCGGGCCTGAGGTGACACCGGTCGAGGAGGTGGAAGGACCCCTGAGTAGCGGGGGTCCAAGCCCTCCTCGGCCGCCTCGGGCCCGCCTCCGTAGGCAGGGAGGACCCGGCTCTTCCTCCTCTTAAAGGAGGAAGATGGATCCCCTCCTGGCCATGGACATAGTAGGATAGGGGGAAGTGGTGCCCGTTTTGGGGACAGGCCCACTCCCCCAGAAACCTTCCTTCCCTGCTTAACGGGAAGGGAGGGTAAGGGGTGAGGGCGGATGTCCCCTCACCCCATAGGTGATACTAGAAGGCCAACCGGTCGGTTTTAGACCGACCGGGACCGCGCCCTGGATTCCCTTTGCGGAACAGGGTGCGGTAATAGATGGCGGGGGGCTCGATAAACGAGCCCTGGGGCCGGAGTGTCGGGGAGGGAATATAGGAGTAGTTCCCCTGACCCCACATTTCCGGTCCGACAGGTAGGCATCCCGCAGGGGTTTTAGTCGATAAGAGTCCGACATAACCCCCGACCCCTCCAAAGGGTCGGGGGTATCCATGATGGATTTCCCCTGCGTCACCAAAAAAAAAAAGGAAGAAACATTTTGCATTTTTAATGCGATCTGTCTCGTGCTAACAAGGGGAAGCTAAGACCTGTTAATAATGGATTTGGATGGCTCTGAAATATATTGTAGAAAGACATTTCCTGTGCACGAGGATAAAAGGATTTGTCTCAATGGACCTTAGTTTTCATGAAAAAGATTTTAAAGTTTAATGTACCGTAGAATACTCGGTACGTAGCAGCAACTTTGGAGTTAGCGATCGTGGCGCAGTGATTGGGGTTAGTACGCTTCCGAACCCAGGTTCGGGTCTTGCTATCTTTCTTTTTTCAATTAGTAATAAATGTTAACAGCATATGTCGTGATATTCGTAATAAATAAAAATAGTGTTTTGATTTAATATATAGACAAATTTTAGGATATAAAACTGAAATACGAAGAATTCATAGAGACATGGTATTTTATTATATGCAAATAAGGTGATAGTTCGTAATATTTATACATGGTTTTTACATAACAGATTTCTCTGTATTACTTAAACAACTTTCAGGATGATATTTATCATAAAAACAGGAAAAACATATATTCGCAGAGCACCAAACGCGTCGAATAAAAATATTTTTCTTACAGGAACACGGTTGTTTTAAAAATGAGACGGGAAAACATAAATCATTAACATTTGAAAATATATTTCTTTCCTCTGTCAATTTGGAGGCAAGCCACGCATATTGTATCATAGGTACAAATGCAAGAGGGCTTAATTGATGCAAAATGAGCGAGTATATTTTGATCGTATCTTCCCTTGAAGCTATTTTACGTTTGTTCTTTAGCAAGGCGGGAGCAGTTTGGAGCTTTTTAATAAAAATTTTCACCTGCCGATAAAAATACACATTGCATGGTTGGCATAGTACTTTGGTGGAATTATTTTCAGGGTGCACGTGGTTGCTCCGTTGTCAGCTTCAAACTAAATATCGTGAAGAGTTGCATCGGTTTGCCCTCCCCACAATTCAATAATTAAAATAAAGTTATTTTTTTTTTACGTACGGCAGCACAACAGTTTTCAGAAATGTTTTGCATTAAGGTTTCACAATATTTAAACGCGTTTGCCATTTCTCCTTTTAATTTATCGTCTAATTCTATTTTGTCGTTGTACACAATATCGCTTCGATTGTACTCTCTCGGGAACACTGCACAAGTGAAAGTAAACGAGGCAGCTGTTTCTTACTAATGGAGGAGCCGACGTCCCCACTCTTTTTTAAATCCGGTACCACGGTCTTTTAACAAAGGATTCTTTGTTAGACTTCGGCTCGAATGCGAACGAGAAACCAACGGCAAAATTCAAACACGTTAAAACTTTTGCTATACTATTTCCACCAAAATATTGGAGTGTAAAGCAATGCTAAACACATTGGATACAAAACAAATAACATTAAAAATGGGCTGCGATATTATAAAATGGGATTTATAAGTGAATTATGAGTAATATCACTGTTCTTATTAATTACGAATATGTTATTATTTACCACAATGCAGAAAGAAATATATTTTCGAATATTAATGATTTATGTTTTCCCGTCTTATTTTTAAAACAACCGTGTGCCTGTAAGGAAAATACTTTTATTCTATGCGCTTGGTGCTTTGCGAATGTATGTTTTTCCTGTATTTATGATAAATATCATCCTGAAAGTTGTTCAATACAGAGGAATCTGTTATATAAAAACCATGTATAAGTATTACAAACTATCACCTTATTTGCAAATAATAAAATACTATATCTCCACGAATTCTTCGCATTTCAGTTTTATATCCTAGAATTTACCTATATAGAGGGTATCCCATTTTAATGTCCCAACTCAAATAATTTCAGTGTTCACTTCAGTATTGCAGTTTCAAGGAAAATGATCTGAATAAAAGTTGTAGGGATTTAAGTGAGCTACCTTATGATGACCTCGACTTTGACTTTGACCTCTATTTTCAAGGTCATTTGAAGGTCAACTTGCGTTTTTTAAATAGGAACTTTATTTTTTATTACACTGTCTTTTTCTACTAGTTAATTTGAACAACTTTTGTCTAAAATATTTTTTTATTTATCTAATATTTTTTGAGATATTTGAGGAAAACTTGAGAACTTTTTCAATATTTAACTTACGATATCTCGCTAATTATTTGTCGGAAGAAAAAGTGGTACTAGACTTTCTTGCTTTATTTAGTCTCAAGAATATATTGTTACAATAGCGCCCTGATTTTTGTTAATTTGATGATTTTGAAATTTCCACAAATCAAAAAGTTAACAAAAGTCAAGGCGCTATTGGAACAATATATTCTTGAGACTACACAGAGCAAAAAGTCTAGTACCACTTTTTCTTCTGACAAATAGCGAGATATCGTAAGTTAAATATTGAAAAAGTTCTCAAGTTTTCCTCAAATATCTAAAAAAATATTAGACAAATAAAAAAATATTTTAGACAAAAGTTATTCAAATTAACTAGTAGAAAAGCACAGTGTAATAAAAAATAAGGGTTCCCATTTAAAAAACGCAAGTTGACATTCAAATGATCTTGAAAATAGACATAGTCAAGATCAAAGTCAAGGTTATCATAAGGTAGCTCATTTAACTCCCTACAACTTTTATTCAGGTCATTTTTCTTGAAACTTCAATACTGAAGAGTTATTTGGGATGGGACATTAAAATGGGACACCCTGTATATACAGGATGATTCAGACAACCTGTACGGCCTTTTTATTTCGGAAATAGAATATTTTAAAGAAAAATGTTTTAGACAAAAGTTGTATGACTTCAAGAGTGACATAAGATGGTATCATTGGTTTGACCTTGAAGAGTTACTTGATGGTCACATGAAGGTCATCTTCAATTTTTTAAATAGAACCTACTATTTCTTATTACATATTCTTGTAGCTTATCTCGAGAGCTTTCCAAAACACTATAACAAAATATTTTTTCATTGAATACTTTACGAGTTGTGAGGCTCCAAAGTAATACTTTGCAGTACTTTGACATAAAGTACAAATATGTTATATGTTATTGTATTGTTATGGGGTCATGTCAATCCTTAAGTATTATTTTAAGATCAAATTACCTTTCTACTCAAATCTATAGTTATGCATGTTTCAAAAAATTCGGATCATCCTACTTTTAGCGCTATCCGGGAACAACGACGTGGACGTAGTAGAAATCTGTTCCCTTTGGGGTGTAAGTTTAATGTGAGTAATCCCCTTGCCTCTCTCGCGCGCGTGCGTGTGTGCGTGCGTGCGTGCGTGTGTGTGTGTGCGTGTGTGTGCGTGTGTGTCTATTCAAGTAAGATAGTGTTCAAAGTGAGCACCATTCTTTTCAATGCAAACGTCTACTCTGTTTTGAAAAGAATTGGTTGCTCGAAGAATTTCATCGCTACTTAAAGATTGAATGGCTTCTGTTATTCTTGTATTCTGGTAATGTCATTCCTTGTAGTTGGGCGATTACGGTATGCTATGTCTTTTACCCTTCCCCATAAATAATAATCCAGGACAATGAGGTCTGGTGATCAAGGTAATAATATGTAATATAATAATATAATAATATAATAAATATGTTTCCCAATAAGTGGATAGGCAACTATGGTCCAATCGATTTTCCATCTCGATCACCGGACCTTACACGCGCTAAGTACAAAGGAATTAGTAGAACATTCGCAAAATGTCAAGCTATCTTCAACAAGTAAAATCAATCGCACCAGACATGGTTAAAAAAAGTCTTGGGAAATACTTAAAAGTTCCAAACGCTACAAGATAACAATTAAGAATTAATATTAATGGGAAATAATTATATCGATATTTTATGTGTACATTAAGGAAGTTAATACTTTTTAAATATATTTATGCTCCCACATTCCAATTATCTTTTAATGAAGTATTCAAAAGATAAGCCCAATCGATTAATATTAACACATGCCTTGGAATTTAATATTGTTTTTATAGGAGCATTTTTCGTTTTTTTCTCAAGTTTTTTTCAGTTATCCTAACATATGTATAAACTATTTATGAAAGTTTTTTAATTTGTTGTGAATGGTTTCGGTTTTTACTTTTTACTTGCACGTCATTTAGATGGAATTCGTTCTACGATGCTATAATGGAGACAATATTAAGCAAGTGAACACTCTAACTTCTTCCTCAAAAGTTCCCACTTTAACTCCTACCGAAATTGATTTCCTTAAAGAATATTACATGGTAATGGTTTTGCTCTTGCTTTTGTAAAATTATAGTAATAATATATAAATGATTTATTGATTACGTGATTATATCCTAATATTTATTTTTTTATATTATACAAACAATATGCTAATTTTGTTTCACATTCTAGGTAATGAAACCTGTTGCCAAAGGTCTAGATATTTTACAAGGAGACAAATATGTTTTTATGGAATATTTATTGCCTACGTTATTATCAATCGAAGAACATTTAAATCAAAAACTAACTCAGACGCTATATGTAAAACCATTAATAAATGCCCTCCTGAAAGGTATTCGCAAAAGGTTTGTTGTAACGATTATAATATGATATTCATATACAAGAGATAAAAAATTATAAAATTGTCATTGAATAGTTTTATTGTTACTTTCCTCTTTACATTACATAATATAGAAGAATCATATATCATGTATTATAATATAGAAGAATAATATATCATGTATTTCTTTAGATTTCACCATCTCTATAAACACAACGAATTGAGAATTGCTGCCTGTTTGATACTGGATTTTAAATTATGCTGGATACAAGATGAAAATGAAAAAAAAGAGGTTATCGAACTTTTAAAATTTATGTTCAGAGGTTTAACACCGAAAACTATGCAGTGTATATAAATATATCCATAGAACAGATCTTACGTAAAACCGACGATTTTTTTATATTTAACAAGACGCTAGACAAAAATCGAAACGAAAACGCAATTATAACTGATCGTACTATTCAAACCTACTTATCGACTGATATATTTGCGACAAAAAAAGATTTTCCTAATGTGCTCAACTTTTATAAAATATAACACGTCAATACCATCTTCAGCTCATGTCGAACAGCTGTTCAGTACAGGAGGGCTCGTTTTCGACAATCTTCGAGGAAAAATATCTGATAAAAATTTTGAAATGGCTTTATTACTTAAATTTAATAAGTATCTATAAATATATAAAAAAAGGTTCTAAATAATTTATTTTTTCCCGTTATTCGTAAAACTGAAACCTTAAGATTATGAAGTGAAACAAATTTAACTTTTAACTTTTCAATTACTTTTTTTTATTAATTTGACTTTTAATTCAATTAATTTCATTATAAATTAACTAATAACTTAACTAAGTTAAATTTTCAAGGCATTAACTTTAATTTAACTTAGTTAAAAAAAAAGTTAACTTACCCAACCTTAGTTATAAATTTTACTTGTAAAAATTTATATTACATACATATATATCTTGAAAAAAATAATTTGTGTTTGAGATTTCTAAAATACAATACGTGTTGCGCGTATACTTGGCGCCTTTTTTTACCTTTTTATTTTAAAAGGTAAGTTTTATGTTTTTTATATCTCACATCTTTTTTGTAGTTAGATAAATTTTACTTGTAAAAACTTATATGTTACATATATATCTTAAAAAAAAATAATTTGAGTTTATATTATATAGATAACGTCCTTAGTTTCTTCTGCGGTATGTGATCTAGCGTTGTACTGCAAAATAATTTGTCTACTTCTGTTGTCAGTATAAGACCTCTTTCGTTTCAATGCATCGCTCAAACGGATAAGTTGTTGTTGATAATACTCCACAAAAACAGTTGCCAGAATTCAGCAACTCGTGATATACACTCTTCATATCCCACTAGATACTCACCAAAACTTTTTTGCATGAATATTGAACTTCGGAGTCGATAGTTAACCGAAATCTACCCACGATTTTCTATATTTAGGGTTATCATACCTATTTTTCATCACCCATAATGATTTGAAATCGATTTAAGAGAAAATCTTATCTCTTAAATCGAGTCAGCAAATATATTGCCGTGTTAAATCACCGATCCTTGTCTTCTAAGCAGGTTGTGAGGAACCCATCTATTCTCCTGAATTTTATTGAATTGATGTAGACGATGAAATATGCATTGTTGAATAACTCCAAATTGTAATGCAAATTCCTGCCGAGTTTGAATGAAATGTTTAGTCAACAGTTACTCAAGTTCCTCGTTATCGAATTTTTGTATTTTACCCGAATTAATTTTGTCGATCCGAATGTCGATCAAAATTTCCATTCCGAAACCACTTTTATACAGGGTGCTAAATTTCAAACGTAACAGGTAAAAAATCTCTAAAACTAAATGATATTGAGGTCCGCCTTTTTTTTATATTGTATTGTTTGGAAGGGACACATTTTGATTAAAACAAAATTTAATTTTGATGGGAGGCGCCAAGGTAAAAAGAAGGTCAAAGGTTTTTTTTTAAATGAAACTCTAACTTTTTGAACATGTTTGTAGCTCCTGTCATGACGTTTGTAGCTCTTGTCATGACGAATTCAACAACCACTCAAGGTGATTAGAAGTCAAATAATGGAAAAAAGATTCAGGAAAAAAAAAATAATATGCTTGAATAAAGCAAAGAAATAAACTTTATTAATAAATTTTCAATGAGAACAAAATATCTTAAAAAAAGAAATTTTTTTCTTCGAAATGGAAAATTTCATTAATAAGTGTTCGAAATGTCCCCTTGCATCTATGTAAGCCTGCAACCTTCGTTGAAAATCATTAAGCACTCTTTGTAATTCGCTCCTCGAAATTATTTGACTCGCTTCGCATATTCGTCGCATATTTTCTCTTGTAGTTGGAGGATTAACATAAACAATTTCCTGGATTCTACTCAAAAAATAATAATCTAGGGAGATCAAATCAGGTGATCTGGGTGCCAAGACACTGTACCTCCTCGACCTATCTATCGATTAGGAAAAATAACATTCATGTGTTGTGCCAAACTAAAGTGAGGAGGTGCTCCGTCAAGTTGCATCCACATGTTTTGGCGAAGGTTTAGAGGCAAATCTTCTAGAAGAATAAGTAATTTCTAAAGTAAGAAATTCAAAAAAACTCGTCTACTTACAACATCGAAGAAAAATGGACCGATAATTGTGACATCAATAATGGCACACCACACATTCAACGACCATACATGCTGATTTGTCTTAACTATCTCAATTTGTCTTAACTATCTAGGATTTTGGTCGCTCCAATAATGAAAATTATGACAATTTACATGTCCATTACTACGAAACGTAGCTTCATCGCTCCATAATACTCTAAAAAATAACATTTCATCTTCAAAGTTGTAAAGCCCATCGACAAAATTCCATTCTCCTATCATGAACCTCCTGCGTTAAAGCTTGGTGTAAATTAATATGAAACGGATGTTAGCGCTCACGATGCAAGATATTCCAAATATTTACATGGAATATTCCAAGTTCCCGTGACAATTGTCGTGTACTGTAATGAGGATTTACAATAATTGCTACTAAAACCTTTATAGTTGTGTCCTGATTACAAACTGGACGAGACCGATTTATATTGCGATGAACTGCAAAAGTTCCATGTTCTCCCAAATGATGATATAAACGAATGAAGACCATAGGAGATGGATAATGGAGTCTATTAGGATATCTATGACGATAAATTCTAGCAGCTTCTCTAGCATTTTATTGGCATTCACCATAAATTAAAACCACGATATTCTTCATTAGTATAATGCACCATAACGCAAATGATGAAAGAAAACAAAGTGAAGATACAACTTATTCTAATGATTACACTACTCACACTCGTGTTCAATATCAATAACTGACTTGGTTGAAATAGTACCCATTCCCAAACGTACGTACGCCTAATCTATCTGTTATATGTTTATTTTCTGAAAAATGTTTTTTGCATCGTCAACGCCAACATCCATTCCATATCCACTTCTACTAAGCTTTAACGCAGGAATATCATGATAGAATTTTGCCAATATAAACAAGATAAACTTTGATTTTATTATGGTGTATTAATAAAGTTAATGAATCTATTTTTCCATTATTTGACTTTTAATCACCTTGAGTATGTGGTTGTTGAATTTGTCATGACAAGGGCTACAAACGTAGGCATTCAAAAAATTAGAGTTCCATTTAAAAAAAAGTTTGACCTTCTTTTTACCTTGACGCCTCTACCCAAAATTAAATTTTGTTTTAATCAAAATGTGTCCCCTTCGAAACAATACAGTATAAAAAAAAGGCGGACCTCAATATCATTTAGTTTTCAAGATTTGTTACCTGTTACGTTTGAACTTTAGCACTCTGTATGTTAATGTCTTCACCCAGAGCGACACAAATCATCTTCGTAGCTTGAGCAGCATCCTTCTTAAACTGAAATATGGAAAGAATGCAGTGCCTCAAATGTCTTATCGACAGCCGTCATATTCACTGCTGTTTCGTAAAATTATGTTACATGAATGCATCCACCAAAGCATACAATATTTTGAGAACTTATAAAAGGAAGATCAGAAGTGATTTCCTCCCATTTCGACGAACTTGCCATATGTTATAGTACTATCTCCACAATAATGAAAGGTAAAGCCACTGGACACAACGCTTAAACATTCATGAGAAAAATGAGTTTAAAGTTTTCGGTGTTACTTATGTACCGGTGTTACTTACAAGTAACACCACTCACCTGTCACTCACTGATTCCAATGAAATTTGGCATGCACGTAGAACATTGCAAAATATTAAACACGTGTTTTTTTTTATATTGACTGATAACGCATTTTAAGAGTGATTAAATCACCCCTTGATCCCTGAATATAAAAGCACTATTTCAACCTTTTGTACATATTACATGTGATTTCCGCCAAACTTGTCTTCCATTGAACTAGTCAGTAAGGAGTTTTTAGAGTCGCTGATTACGAATCTGGAAATAAAATTACAAAATTCAAGATGGCGGACCCAATATGGCGCCGAAATTATAAAACAATTGATTTAAACCAACTTTGATATCTGCAGGTTTTTGGGGCCTCTAATTATGAATCTGGAGATAAAATTACAAAATTCAAGATGGCGAAATATGACAGATGGCGGAATATGACGCAATATGACAGATCGAAATTGTACCAGTGAAGAAGGATATTGCTTCAGGCAATTACATTTACTGAATTTAACAAGGAATCGATATTCAAAATTGACCTGTCGTATCAGTTTTTTCAGATTAGGAAGTTGATCTTCCAAAAAATTATTATCCGTCAGTATCCGAGCCGAATATGTAATGATATTCTGACATATCTTGATAAGATAAGATATTTTCCTTGAAACAATTCCATGCTGAATTTTGAAATTATACATTCATTTCGTTGAAGCCGAAAATGATTGACGAGATAAATTAACATCTTCTCTCGCCGTGATGGCCCATCTTTTCAAATCTAAATCGTGGATGGGAACACCTTTGTCAGAAGAAGAGTTAAATTGTTCCATAACATATTGTGAAATAAATAATAATTTATCACTTCTCGATCCACCTTCAGCAACATGTGTTTCCCATTTACATAATTGTCGTTGATTTAAGACTTTCTTGAATCGGTCTTTTACTATTTCAAAGCTCAATCTTTTCTTTTTCCCTGATCGCCAATATTCAACTACCTTCCTCTTGTAATTCAAGTCTATCATTTCGTCAAACTTCGTAACGTCTTGCACATTCCCTTGCGAATCATATTCTGACTCTTTTTCAACTAAAACGGCATCAGTTATTCTGAGATCATGAAAGCTTAAACAATCATAACTCTCAATAAACACTTGACTATTGATTACATGAAATTTTTCATTAAATCCGCGAGATGAGACACGAACGATTTTTCCTCTTCAGTCATATTTGATTGTATATCGTACACAGGATCTTCGAAATAGAGGCGTAATAAATTTAATATATTGTTATGCTTCGTGCACGCTCGGGGAAATAACAAGAAGGCAATTTAGAAAAGAATGGTTTAATTGAACTCGCTACGTCTTTACAACACGGAGGTCCTCTCCCGACTCTCAATTCTCTCAGAATAAACAACTTCCTAACAACAGCTGACCGTGCCGCCGCTCGCTATTCGTCTTCTGTCCAATCAATATTTCAATGCTGTAACAATATTTTTTGGATTCATCGACAATG